AGCACTTATTCTGTCAATATCTTCCTGAAATTTTTGAGTGGCATCTGAGATATCTGTCGGATTAAAGGAGAGGTAAATTTGAATGTCGTCGGCATACAGGTGGTATTGACAGTGCAGGATAGAGGATGGGAGGTCATTTATATAGATGGAGAAAAGGGTGGTCGATAAGGAAGAGCCTTGTGGGACGCCTCTGGTCAGAGGTAGAGATTCTGATGGTGGGTTATTAGGAATTACAACGTACTGGGAGCGACCGGTTAGGAAGGATTGGAACCATTTATGCAGATGATTCTCAGATATACCTATCATTTTCCGCTCCTGAGTTATTGGGGGCATTTGCCAAGATCCAAGAAGACCTAGATCGAATCAGTGCCTGGGCAAATGTAAATGGATTAAGGTTAAATACTGCCAAAACTCAGGCCATTGTCATTGCTTTAAAGTCCCTTCTTAGATCCCATACCGACTTTCCCATCCTTTACCTTAATGACCAGCCTATCTCATTCTACTCCTTTGTTAAAAATTTAGGATTTTTCATTGATTAAAACCTCTTCTGGAATCACCATATTTCTCATATCTCTCGCCGGACAATTTCCACGCTCAAACTATTCCATCGCTTCCGCCATCTCCTACTTCAACATACGCGTAGACTCCTAGTTTCCTCTCTCATTTTCTCCTACTTTGACTATAGCTGTGTGGTGTATTATGGCCTCTCTGTGGAGCTCCGCGATAGACTGAAAAGACTAATGAACAGCTGCATAAGATTTGTGATCGGGGCCCCAAGATACTCCCATGTCTCTAACCACTACGCTGAATTAAAGTGACTTTTCTCCTCCTTCCGAAGACAATATTTCCTAGGTACGTTCCTCTACCAAATCATCAAAAATCATCGTCCTTCTTACACCTACAACCTTCTCCAGTTCAAATCCTCAGTCCATTCCATGTCCACAAGATCTCGACCTTCTAACCTTTACTTGCCTTCTCATAGATCTGCCTCATTCCAAAACTCCTTTATTGCTTGCTCTGTCAATTTCTGGAATTCCCTCCCTATCAAAATTCGATATTCCCCATCTATATCCACATTCAAAATCCTCCTATTCCAATTCCTATCCCAAAAAAAGTCAGATAGTTGTTAACCATTCGACAACATACATGTATTTCATGCCATTCATTGTCAAGTATCAATGCTAAATGATAATGTATTTATATATTAATCAGGCACTTTATATTGTCAGATTCAACTTTCTGTTTTCTCAACACAAACACAAAGCTGATTTTAATACAGAATTTAATATATTTTTATTTTTTAATTCTTTATTGTTTTCTTAAAAGTGCATACTGGTCTATCAGTGCAAATAGATTGAAGTGTCTTGTAATAGTGTTAATTGTATATAGTTTCGTTTGTTTTGTATATAGAATGTTTACTTTATATTTTCTTTACATTATTTATTTTTTTGATTGATTTTATTTTGGCCAGATGTAATCTTTTAATTTTATTCTATTTTGTTATTCTCAAGGGACTTTGTCCCAGAATAAAGTTATTTTCTATCTATCTATATATATTATAAACTTAATGTTTGTAAATTGTATAAAACTAAATTTTATTATAAAGAAAACAAATTTCAGACTAAAAAATGGCCCAAGAACTGGCCAAAATATTATTACACAGGATATTGTAATTAAAAAAAAAAAATGACAAATAGGAATCCAAGATTCTATCCAAAGAGAATCTACATCCATCATTGATTTACAAAATTAATTCAAAAGTTTATTACTTAACAGGCTTCAAACAGTCACTGATGTTTTAAGAAACTTCATTTCCTATAGAAAGGCTATATCAGAAACATGGATGAACAATGAAGAAAACATTGATGTCTCAAATGTTTATTGTATTGTTAAATTCAAAAGACTTGATTGTCGCGCACGCATCACACAACTTTCACTTACCACTCTTTTTTTTAGCAGAAATAAGTATTTTCAGAGAAAGAGAAGTGAAAGTAAAAAATACAAATAGTACAAAATATTATATAAAACAATTCATCACCATATGTTTTTCACAGCCGTCTAATGTATTATATTTATATTTTTTGTCACAAACCATTTTCTCTTATGACTGTATATTTTAATTATTTATTTTATTACAATAAATAATAAAGTGTCACGAAATATTTTTAGTCCAACAAGAGTACCAGTGATAAAGAAGGCCGCAATATTTATGTGTATTTCATTGTTGGTATTTTTAATGATGTAGAGATGGTTGACCGTTGATATAATATGAGAAGGAGTAAGTCGAGGGTGCGGTCAAATAAATAAAAAATTAAAATATATTAATTATTTTAATTTTTGCCGACCCACTTTGTAGCCCTGAAGATGACCTGCAAAGTGGGTCGAAACGTCGGCCAAAATTAAAATAATTAATATATTTTAATTTTTTATTTATTTGACCGCACCCTCGACTAACTCCTTCTCATGTTGGTATTTTTATCTGTTTAAGCATTGGTATATATACAAATTTTAGTTTTTATATTGCTATAATATATACAATTAAATCTTAAATAATACTAACGCTAGCAGTTATGAAAATTGCACATGCAAATAATATGATGGGAACTCGTATTTTATTAAGCATGCGTTACTTATGGAAGCTTATTCTAACCTTTCGGCCATGCTTGGGTTTCTTTGGTTCTATATTCCAATCCCTTATTTATCCTTTAGTTAACTATCAAATTCTTTCTTATTTTATATTTGTCCATTTTTTATAAGAGGTTAAAATATGAAATGGTTAATTACTTCAAATAAAACAAATTAAAGGTACTTCAGAAGAAAATTTGAAAATTAGGGGCATTTAAGTCATGTTAAAAAAAATCAATGAGAATAAGACCTACATTATGTTACAAACCGCTTAATTTTAACTGATATTATTAATCTAATCAAAATTTTTAGAGCCATTTTAGAGAAAATTGTAAAATTGGTAGTATAAAGAGGCATTTCAACACAGATTTAAATTTTTTCATGATTTTAAAACTTTATCTTACTATACATTGCATGTATAGGCAAATGAAAATAGTAACAGAGACACCTCAACTTTGGTCAGTTAAGAGACAGATAAACAGATATTGCATTTCATAATTCACAATCATGTGGAGTTAATATTTCTTCCAAAGGAGAAATTTTTATAGCGAAACATAAAGTAAAAAATGGCCATGAAATTGTAATGTTAGCTATCTGTATCTCACCTAATCAAAGAATAAAGAAAATCATCGAATTCATCCATGAAAATTTGCTAATCTACACTGGAGCAGGATCTACTCTTTTCAAACGAAACCTTCATTCATTACCAATGATTTTGAGTGGGGTTTTCAATGTTGATTTCTCAAAAGAGACATCAAAACCTTTAGTTGATTTTTTTAAACCAACATCAGATTTATATATGTCAATTGATTCAAATAAAAGCATAACAAAATCTGGAACAATTGACGGAGTTTTTGTTAGATATTTAGCAAAAAGATTTCAATCAAAAGTATTCATTACATATTTTATGTGTGCATAAACTTATTGTTTCATTTTTAGTGTATGATACAAATGAAGATCAATCAGAGGAAAGTTTACCAGAGAAATTTATACAAAGTTATAATTGAATATATTGTAAATATTACTACTTCGTAAATATAGACCAAAAAATACTATTAATCCCGCCTTGTTGATGTTTCCACTTCTATCATGTGGCCTTAAGCATACTATAGTTTTCAGAGTGATTTCAATACCTTTGAAAGAGAGAAGATCTATTTGTGTTTGTTATACACAGGTCCATTTCTGACAGTTGGTCATTCATTGAGGTTTTTGTGGAGTCGAGGTATTTGAATTAATTTACTCATGGGAACAATTTCTCTTTTAATCAGATTCTGTTATTGGGAATGGAATGGAATTTTCTACTTATAATCATATATTTGGTTTTATCTTTATTTACTTGTTGGCCGATTTACTCTGCTTCCCTCAATAATGTCTTAGTGAGTTTCTAAATATCTTCTAATATCAGTGAGATTTTATCTTCTCTTCATAAGCCAGTTTGAACTTTGAAGAATTCAGATACTTCTCCTTGTATTAAGATTTGATATTTAGGGTCATTTGTACATACAGTCATCAATCTCACCAACTTCCCAGGAACTCTCAGTTCAGCGATGCTTTTCAAAGACGGTTTTTGTCAACAGAATCATTGAATCAATAAATTAGGCATGCCATCCTGAGTTACTTCCCATCGTTTTTCGAGTACTAGATGAAGATCTCATCTAGCGTGCTCCATTCTCTTCTGAATCCAGCTTGGTGGTCGCCTATTATATTTTCATAATACAATTTTTATAATATTTTCATAGTAACAATAGATCTGTAACTGATATATGATATCTTATACTAGTTTAACATAAACTATTTTCATAACGCAAAAAAAAAAAAAATACAATAGAATTAAAAAACAACTAATGTGAATAAGAAGAAGCCCTCTCCTTATAATCTATTAAGTTGTGTTCATTTGATAAAAGAATTTATTGATAAAAGAAATTAACAATTCCATTGTGAGAAATTTTAGAGTTCGAAAAAAAATATCAGTTGAAAATCATTATGAAGGCATAAAGATGAAAATAGTAAAAAATGAAATAAATAAATAACAATTCTAATTTCTAACTATGCTAAAAGTTCCTAAACAGAGATATCATACTGAAAATATGAAAAATGGAATATTTATTTATATTTTCAATAAATGTGACAAAATAAATAAAAACTAAACTGTAGTAAGTTTATATTATATGTAATATATTATTATATTATGAAATTATAAGAAGAAATAAGTAAAATCAATGAATATGAGAATAAAAAAATGCCATTGAAAAGAAATATAAGGGGATAACAAAATATAGAAGTTTTATCAATAGAACTTTAATTATCAAAATAATACTTTAATTGACAAGAAAAGTTATAAGACTGAAGATTTTATAAGCTATAAAATGATATACCTTTTGCTTTGCATCTTATTTTATCAGATCTTAGTTGAAAATTATCATCCATGCATGAACAACTATAACTGCCAACAGTATTATGGCAATATTGAGAGCAAGAAGACATTTTCTCACATTCGTTGATGTCACTGCAAGTCCTACCATCACCTCCTAGAGTATAACCACTTAAGCATTCACACCTAGGTCCCATAGGTGTCTCTTTACATTTGTGATGACATGCAGCGTGTTCACATCCCTTACCTGTAATATTTGGTGAATAGTTTGATATTTGTGAGACATTAAAAAATAACAACATAATAGTAAACAATATTTATAGTAGCAATAAATCCTAATTAAAAAATATATAAAAGTAATTTTAATAATGTATTTTTGGATACAATGTTATTAATTGTTAGTAACTTGATTTTCTTTACCAGGTGTGGTAGTTAGTAATTCTTAATTTTTCCAAGAGATGGTCTGGAAACTAGGATTAGTTCATAGTATAACCTCATACATTATTTCGTTTCTATGACAGTACCTGTCAAAAAATCACTGGTGTTTAAACAATTTCGGTTTAGCCTTATATTTTGTTAAATATCAAGCCAAGAAGATTTGTGGCATGTACTGTTTTTCTTGTTCAATTAAAAGAAAAAAGTGAGTGAAGCCATTGTTTACTTATGGGAACTTAAAGTGACAATGTTCTAATGTAAGGCGCTTGTATTCGTTGGTTTAGATGATTGAAAAGTGTTTATTTTGGCTTGAAAACAAAGAACGCTTAGGTCAACCCAAAAAAAATTTCAAGATGCCAACCTAAAAGCATTGCTGGACAAAGATGATTCAATAACTCAATAACAACTAGAAGAAAGGTTAAATGTTAGTCATTGAACCATTTGTGATCATGCGCATGCCATGTGAAAGATCCATAAAGTAGGAAAATGAGTACCATCAGTTGAACGACACAGTGAAAATCGATAAACAGTGTGCAAAGTTTTCCTTTCTCAGCATAAAAGAAAGATATTTTTTTTGCATTTGGTCGTGACTGGAGATGAAAAATGGATATATTTTGAGACTCCAAAATTCAGAAAATCATGGGTTGGCCCAGGACAATCATCAACATCTACCACAAGACCAAATCGATTTGGAACAAAGACAATGTTGTGAATTTGGTGAGATCGTAAGGGTGTCATATACCATCAACCAGGTGAAACAGTTTATATCATCTAACTTTAATAAGTTATCAATTTGAACCATACATTGAAAAGTAATTTTGCAGCAGAACCATTCCTACACTTGGTAAGGAACTCTTGTACTACCTATCGTATTCACCAGACTTGGCTCCTTCTGACCTGCTTTCATCAGTATCTCACGCACTTTTCACAAAACATTTCAATGATTGCAGAGATTTAGAAAAATGGCTTGATGATTGGACTGCCTCTAAAGACGTAAAGGTCTAAAGAACCTTCCGTTTTGTTGGGGGTCTAGGTTATTTACACTCGTGAATTTTAATTTTTAAAAACAAAACTCTGGCTCTGGATATTAACTTAAGGGTCTTGATTCTTACCAGCTTTCAGACAGTTTTTAGGATTCATAAATACTGTACATTAAATGAATCAAGAAATATCGACCCATTGACCTTTGTTTAAATTTCATAGGAATACCACACAATTCTGAAACTTTATTATGAGGTTCTAGTATTCCTACGATTATTCTCAATCAGCCTAATACCCTCCAAATCTGGCAATCTTAATAACAAAGTTTCAAACTTGAGTATTACACATTTAATAGGGTTAAAGAAGTTTTTCTTTTTTAAACTGCTTTCGCTACTTAAATAGTGCACCCTGATAAAAGAATCTGAAGACCATTTTCGATCAGCATGCCTAATCACTGAGCTGTAATTTAAATAGCCAACTTTTTAAACTATTTGGTTCTGAAAATCTCTGAACTTCAGATTTTTTTTTGACACTGCAGTATTAATTTATTATAATTTACTTATTCTGGAAGGTGATGGTTCGGGGTGGTGGTCATAAAAACACTTAAAATAATGAACAACTATTTTATTTTAAGCCAATGTTCCAACCCTACTATGCAAGTCTTCTTCAGGGCAAGAATGAACAAGATACAAGTTATTTAGATAAAAATCATAAACAGTTTGGATAAACTTACTAAAATTTTAAAAAGTGTGAATAGAAAATACATAAAAATATTAAGAACAATGAACTATATAAATGGAATAAAACAAAATATAACTAAGTAAGTAACCAGACCCTAAACTAAAGTAAATAAAACAGGTAAACATAATTGTAGATAGGAAAATTGAATGTCATAACGAGGATGGATAATATCCGTAATTAAGAATAAAACCTGACAAAATTCAAAGAAGGTTAAAAGAAAAAGGAAAAAATAACGGACGAAGTGTGAAAAAGGTGAGAACAATAAGACTTTAAAAAAAACAAAAAAAAAACAACAGTAAATTAATATCTATCTGTTAATTTACTGGTTTTTTTTTTTCACATTATAGTTACTTTTTATCTTATATTAAATTGTATTTCTAATATAACCTATTACACATCTAATATTATTATGAAAATATTCATGTTAATATTTTTAAGATTAGTAACCCATAACTTATGACTATCCATATTAGAGCCAGACTGAGGTAAATTTTAGGATGGAGCGAGATCCAACTTTGGCACCACCTTGTTGCAATAATAATAGTTTATTTTTAAAATAGGACACATTTTACATGCCACTTATTGATGTTTGTTTTATAGTGTAGATTATTTCTAAATGAATCTACAAAGTACTACCACTTCTAGTTCAAGGAAAAAAATGTTTTCCTTTCTTACTGGAGGAAAAGAAGCAGCACAATAAACTTCCAGCAATTGTTCTTCCGTTTTATCATTTCATTTTTTATAAATCAAAGTAGTAGTTAATTTATTAAAAGTGAAATTTTTTCACCGAAGTTATACTACTCAAGAATAAAAAAATATACACGGCAGTAAATTGATTATGTGATGAGAGGGAACACTTGTTATGTAACGTTGCACACTAGAGGATCAAGGATTTAATTTTGGGAGAGAATTCAGCCAGAAAGCTTTTTATATATTGTAATATGTTCTTATTTCAACTAATAATAAAACTCCTGGAAGATCACTTCATATTGTAGCCATACTTCCAAAATTAAATATAAGTTTGTAAAAAAAAAAAAAAATTATAAGAAAATTAATATATTAAACTGAAATTTATAATTATTTTATCTCAAGGGATGGGATACTGACATTCAGATCAAAAGACTCAGACAGATTAAATTCTATTTTCTGAACTAGTGAAACTATTTTTCAAATAAACATCCCCTGACATTAACAGAACTAGATCAGCTTGCCTTTTAACTGTTCAACATTTATTCACTAAACCACTTTTACTAACTTTCAATAAAGGTATATATTACAATATATATATATATATATATATATATATATATATATATATATATATATATATATATATATATATATCAAACGATTATTACTTTGGGAGAAAAAGAAAGAAACTAACTACCTATATGAAATGGTGTTTAGATGATTCTAGAATATCCTGTTAAATTTAATTAAAGGAACAATAATACTTATAGAGATTAGCGCTTTTGGAGGGGAGGGGGAGGCTTCAGCCCGAAAGTGGGGGGCAATGCTTGATATGTTTTGCTTTTAGATTAAACTATCTCAAAAAATAAAAATCTTAGCTACATACTGTAAGTAAGAGAAATATTCAGCATTTCATCCTTTTTGTAATGGGATATAATTCAAAATTGTTGATAATCATAATCTTGATGCTACACCCATATGAGAATCAAAAATAGGAAAAGATAGCGCAAAAATGGAATGAAAACAAGTTTTTGAACGGGATATTTTCAAATTCGTTCATCCCATCTCTTAGCAATATTTAGTTCAAAAGCGGTTTTTGCTGTTCGATAATAACTGCTATATAAATTTTCAAACCAGATTAATAATATTGTTTTTTAATGGTATGGAGATGATACTAATAGATTTTGGTTGAAATCCGATCACCCATTGCTTGGTTTTAACAAAAAATGTGTGCTGCCAGTACCCGCTTTACATTACCTACGGATTTTTCACTTTTATTCATTATCCACATCTCTTTCTCCTATCATACATAGAGAGTTTCTTACTTAAGAATCATCACATAAAAACCAGTAAAGCAGAAGACAATATGGTTCAAAAGATCCACCAACAAATTAATATTCATTGCAGAATAATTCTATTGCCACTCTAGATCTAGGTCATTACTTTAAACATATATAATTGATTTTTTTAAACTAAAAAAAAAGTTAAGAAATTGGCAAATTGTTAATTTAATCGTTAGAGGAATTTATTAAAATTAATGATATAATAATTGATTATATGATATTTCCAATTGAAAGTAATCTGAATACTGATTAAAGGTTCTCATTTGAATTTTTTTGAAGAATAGATATTAATAAACAATTATATATTTTTAAAAAAAACTTACCGCAAAGGCCTTTTTCATCTGACCCATCAGTACAATCCATAAGAGAATCACACAGTTTACTTAAGGGAATACATTTCTTACTATCTTTGCAGAATAAACCATCACATAGAAGATTGTCTGAAATAACTGAGATAATTAATTCTTTAAAACAGAATAAAGTGAAATATTGTTAACAAAAAAATAAAAATTAATAAGATCATTTCTTGTTTTTATATACTTAATTTAATTTATTTCCAAAATATTGAAAAACATAATGCAATATTTAATTATTAGTTCTTTAAATATTTTATCTTACACATATCGTGTACAGCCAAGGTTCCATTAAGGCAATGCATTTCATCAGACTGGTCTTCACAATCACTGACATTATCACAAACCCATGTCATTGGCAAACATCGCTTACTCGAAGAACAAGTGAATTCTTCCTCAGAGCACTTGTTGCAACGAAGCTCATCTTCTCCGTCTGGACACTCTGAAGTTCCATTACATCTAAAATCAAGTATTATCATTAGTAGTTTTTGGACCTTTTATAAATATACAGTGAAGTACACCGCGAGTGTGGCCTTTAAATACATGAAAGAGAAATTTCGAAAATTAAGTGATGCAAAAGTTAAGGAAGGCGTTTTAGTCAGGCCACAAATTTGAGTACTTGTGAAGGATCCTGAATTTTACCAAGTTTTCGAAGGGAGAGAAAAGGAAGCTTGGCAAGCATTCATGGGAGTTGTTCATGGGTTTTTAAGCAACAAAAGAGATGACAACTACACGCATTTGGTGACAGTGCTCCTGCAAAAGTACCATAATCTTGGAAGCAACATGTCCCTTAAAATCCATTTTCTCCTCTCCCACCTAGACTTTTTCCCTTCTAGTTGTAGAGCTCTTAGTGATGAACATGGAGAAAGATTCTATCAGGACATTTCTGTTATGGAACAAAGATTGGAATGAAGCAATGCTTGCAGATTACTGTTGGTCTTTGTGTAGGAATGCACCGGAACTCCCTTACAATGGGAAAGCTAAAAGACGACGATCTCATGAAGCCACCACATAATCTCTTCAGACACGACCAACTGCGACGTATTCTTCCAGCAATTTAGAATTCTTAGAATGTAAGATGAAAAATCAAATACACTTTCAATCTTTTCCTCTTAACCTGTTAGTATGAAATACTTCCACATAGTGTATAACACAGAAACTAGACCTAAGACAATTTTTTCATTATCATATTCGTTTTTCTCAACCCAAAATTAGTAAGAATTGACTTATAATTGAATGCTGGAAACATTCAAAATTTTGTTTTTTGTTTCCCAGTGATATTAAAGCCCACAAAATTTACTATAGGTTTCATAGGAAACATATTTCTCTAAACTTAACTTACATACAAATCACAAAAAAGAAATTAATGTTTTGAAATTAGAAAAAAAACCTGATAATTTTATTTTTACTGTTTTACACTTATTTTAATGATATTACTGTTTCTTCTTGACACTTTTAAATGAACTTTATTCTGACTTATTTTTTAATAATTAATATTATCCAAATTACATACCTTTCTGTTCTTATGGATTGTTACCATCTTAAAAGACTGTTCGATTTCTTCACAAAAAATGTTTTGGATAATTAAATTATTGTATTAATGTTTATTTTTTAATATAATAAAACTAATGTACTAAAATAGTTGTTATAGCCATATAGATATGCCATTTATGAGTAATGAATGATGTGGCAGAGAACTCTAGGCGCCTACGCCAGAGCCGCTTTTCTGTCAATCCACCGATTTTCTATGTAATCATTTCAAATATTTTTAAAATTAATCAATGTTTTAGAAAGACAAATGTCTTTTCCATTCTCTAGATGTCTTATGTTTTATTTTGGGGTGTTTTTCGTTTATTGTTGGCCGTTTATTTACAAACGAAGTTTGATTTTCAACTCTAGTTTGAACAACTTGAAAAAATCAACTTTACTGGTGTTTTTTATTGCCAAGACCCATTATTTTTTCATCTTTTATTATTCTCTAACTGTCCAGCGTTAATAAAAGGCCATTGGGATGAAATTAAGCAGAGCTCTGTATCTCAGTGACTGAAAATCTAACTCAAGTCAAAGACGTCAATATACCATGTTTGGATGCCATTTCGGGACAGTGCAGCCACTTGTTTTGAGGGAACATTGACTTTTTTAAAATAAATTGTTACAAGAAACACAACTATATACAATTCATTGGAATGTAGAGGGAGCGAAGTAGGGGGGAGGGAGGTCTGGCCTATCATGTAACATACTTTTCAAAACACCTCCAGACTACCATCTACCGTTCCAGCCAATGGCTCATTATCTTCAAGGAAAACCTCCAAATTTTCTGAAAGAGGTTCAAAATGGAGTTAAAGAATGGTTCCATACACAACTGAAAGAGCACTTAGTTGAAGAAATCGAAATAGGTAAATTTTGAAAGCTCAATAGTTCGCTTCCTGTGGGGCTTAGAAAAAATGTTATGTACAAAAATCTTAGATAATTTTTAGGTGTTTAAAATTGAACTCAACCATTTTTTATCTATATTGCTCTAAAAATGAGATATTTAGCGTGAACCAAAAAAAGTTCGAAATTTCAATGGTTTTTGGAACACTGCAGCAAACCCACAAGGCTTTCAAGGGCGGAAACTTAGATTTTATATATTCACTACACACCTAATAATACAAAAAAGAAATTTGAATTACCCAACCTTTTGCAAGGTTACATGTCTAATTTGACTGGGCTATATCGTACTGTAATATAAAAATAATTTTAATTGATAAACAAAATAAATGAAATGAGATGCTAACCACTGAGAGATAAAGAGAAATAAATGGCTTCTGATTTAAACAAATAAAATAAAACATAAATACTTCAAGATGTCATCATTAGTTAAGGGTGAAGTCTGCCACCCACTTAACATAAACTCTGGTCACTTTCCGTTTGTTTTTTGATGTCAAGATACTAAAGTATTGTAGGCCAGGAAATAATTTGTTTCATCAAGAGCTTATTCCCGTTATTAGAGATAAAGCAAGTGAAGCCACCTTAATTTATTAGAAACTTTATTTACATATATTTAATATTAATTATATTAATATTAGACTAATATTAATCAATCCACCAGTCAAATCAATATTGAACATAACTGTGAATCATACATTCAACTAAAAGTTATTTGTAGTGTGAGTGAACGGCTATGAGTCAAATCATTTTCACACAATCTTGAATCATGCTTGGAACTATAAGTGATTATCAAGTTCTTGACAGTGATAATGCTCATCACAGTGATCATGTTCTTCGCTATAATTTTACCCATAATTGGCAGGCTGCGTTAACTGATGCTAAAGAGTGAAGGAGTGATTTCCATAACAGTATTATGCTGGTAACATAACATGTTATGAAGTTAAACACTAGTTTCGATTATTATTATGTTATTTTAGACCATTAAGTTATTTTGAGCGCACCTCTATCAACAGTATATGGGCAGCTTTCATAAATGATAGCTCTGATGTTAATTAACATTTAATTAGATAAATTACAGCAATATGAAAACTAAAATTAGTATATAATAATAATAATAATAATACTTTATTTATTCTGGACAAGTCCCTTAAGAATAATATACAAAGATAGAAATGTAGGCTTTGGTGCTTGGAGAATAATCACAAAATAAACGAAAAATATATATAAAGAAAAGTGAAAAAAAATAATTAAAACAACCTAGTAATTTATATACTTATTTAAAGTTTTTCTTTTTACAATTGTGTGGTGACTGAATGAACAGGAAGTGATTGAACATGTGAGATTTAAAGGAGGGGATTGGAACAACAGATGTAGGAAGGGATAAAATTCCATAGATATGAGGATCAGATAATGAAAGGTTTGTATAAAGCAGTGGTTTGAATTGAAGGAGCTCAGAGATTTATGAAGGAAGGGCAGTCAATAATCAAATCAAATCAACAGTAATCAAAATGATAAAAAAGGTTCCCAGCCTATGTACTATATTATAGACCACAGGTTCTCGAACTATTATTTGCCAAGGTACACTATCCTGCTAAAAAAGTGTTGCTGCTTTCTTGCAGGACTAAAAACATTATACAGCACTCTTATAATTAAATGAATTATTAAAATATACAGTTGTAGAGGAAATGGATAGTGAAGAAAAATGCATAAATTTAAGAAGAAAGATGTGTGGGAAAAACATAGATAACGAATTGTTTGAAATGAATATATTACACCGTTAATAATTTTTATTTTCACTTCCCTTTATATGAAAATACCTATTTTTACTCAAAGTAAGATTCTAAGTGAAAGTTTTGTGATGCACACACTACAACACATTTTTTATTGATGTTTGAATATTTAAATCCCTACTCTTTAAAGTTTAAAGGCATCAGAGTCCACTTGGTATACCAATATTTTTTGATATATTGAATAACAAATTTTAACATGTTGAAAGGTTTTAATACATTCAGTAATTTGAATACTCAATAGTTCACCATAGTAGATTGAGAAAAGAGATTAAACAGAGTGGGGTTCATACAAAAAAATAGTTTCCACTATTTTAAGTTTTGTTTTACAACTGCTAACCCAAATCATCTCGTTCCTCATTAAATAATCTATTAAAAGGTTTTTTTTTTAAACTTCATGAGTGGTTTAAGGAATTTACATAACTTACCTCCCTGATGAAGGCAAACATATTTTTAAATCTGAAGGGCATAAAAATTGGCAGTCTTTTGATGAATCCTGAGTCTTATTTTCCTCATTATCATATTTTTTTTTGCTTTTTGGAAAGTAACAATATTTTTCATCAGATGAATCTTCACAATCATCTTCATGGTTACAGACCAAAACATGAGAAATACAGTGACCATTGTCACAAGTAAACTGATCTTCATCGCATCCTTCAATTTCAGCTTTAAAAAAAATAAAATAAATGAAAAATAGTGGAAGCAAGTCTCAGAATGATGTAAAAATTTTGGCAGAAAATTTATAATTAAAGTATAAACATAAATCAATTTTATATAGGTAGAGTATTGAGAGACCTTAAACAAGTGAGAAGTTAAATTAATATAAATGAAATAAGAATAACTAAATGTGTTAGTATTCATAGTTCCAAAAAATGACTGTTTCCAGTCAATGACTGAGGGTTCTGTACTTTGTAAGTAAGTAATGTTTCAAGGCCAACGGTAGGGAGGTGATTGGGTCGAGATCAAGCTGGACAACCAGGTTTTCTCCTTTAATTAATTATCTAACTAAGAGTACCCACTTTATAGAGGTGGTATATGCCCCAGAGGGATCTCCTAATCTCAGGGATATATACAGCTGATGTAACAGAATAAATAATTACCTGTCACAGCCAAACTTGAACCCGGGACCTTGAGCATAGGAAGTCAATACCTTACCTACTGAGCTATCTCACTCAGTTCTGGCAACCTTTTTTTTTCCATTGCAGTTGGATCACATTTTCAAACAGCGTTAACTGACTTTATCGCAGCTACCTCATTTTTTTAATCTTCCTGGTGTCTTGTTCAGAGGGGCCTGCGGTCATCGAATTTATAGGGTAGTCCGGAAATTAATACAGGTTTATGGTTTTAATTAAAACATCTTAAACAAATTATACAATACTATTTTTATTAATCACAATACATTACACTCCATCAAAGTTTTTTTTAGCTTTGAGGTGGTCAGCAATGGTCAATTTGCTGACAAAAAGTTTCTCTATAAATTCTCAAATAGTTTTTCTGTGATTTTTTCGACCAAAGCAAAATGGAAAAGAAGTTCTTCCACAACCATTGTTGTCTTCAAATTTTTTAAAAAATCGTTGAATGGTGTACTCACAAACACTGCGATTTTCCCAGACTTATTTAATGTTTCTGGCCTTTTGGGTGCTGATCCAACAGACTTTATATTCGTAAAATGAAATAATGGGAAAATTATGCCATCTTGGCTAACCCTTGTTCCCTGGAAGAGAATTAATAAGTGAGGACACCCATAAAAAGAATAATCTCTCAAACGTAAACAGTTTGTTATATAGAGGGTTATTATAAAGAAAACATAAAAAACAGCATTATTTTTTGGACAAACCAATAGAATAGGCATCAAATTTATAGATCCAAGATGGGCTAAAATGGCAATCAATATTCAATTGAGAATATAATTCTTGTGAAGTCAAAACGTACACTTTTTCAACACCCTAACATTAAATTATTATAATAACAACGAATGGCCGATAATAATTCTAGTGGGACAAAAATCTGAAACCTATGGTATTTATTGTCAGATGAAATATTTCTTAATCATCCAGACTAATGTTATTCCTAAAAAGAGTCATTGAATGATTTGTAAACCATTATTGTTAAAAAACAGTATGTTTTTATACTTTATGGAAATTTTAAAACCAAAATAACATTACTACAATAAAACATCATCTAGAACATTGATTTTGTTTTCATTGTTTGGTTTTGCCGTAATATTCGTATCTGGCATTACAAGCAAATTTGGAATACTCACTTAACGCTCTACTTTTTTCGGGTAGGAGCCCTTAGTATTTTTTTTTAAAATAGATTGCTTTCAATAAATAATAAGACAAAATTATTAATTTTTCATAACATTGATGCATATAAATTTACATTTTACAATCAAAGTGACAAACCTTTGAAGTTCAATATTCACCATGCATTAAAATTCACCTTTGTCCCTCTCCTCTTTGGGATTTTCCTTCTTGGGAAACTACAAAGCAGCCATTTTCTTTTTTCTGCACTAGTAGAACTAGATTAGCTTGCCTTTTAATTGTTAAACATTAATTTATTAAACCCTTTTTACTCACTTCCAATAAAGGTATACATTGCAATATACATAAATGTATTTGTAAATTTTTTTCTGAAAATTTATTACTTCATGAATAATATAAACTTATGCCTTATTTTTTGGTATTTCCTCTCTAATCAAAATGGAAAGTCTGCGCCTATGCCATATATTGCTGAAGACAACAAGAGCCTGATGTCCACTTGCCAATATTAGTAAAATAAGAAAGGGTGTTCATTCTTGAAAGGATGGCAGAAAAGCTAAGACACCTTATCTTCTGGAAAATGGACCCCCTGTCTGATTCTCAATCTTGTAACACAGATGTCAAATAAATATTCCATCTCCATTATCTCACCTAACTGCTCTCTGGGCATTGTTTCAGGGCTTGTATAGCCAGATTAGAGTCAGATAATGAATAATTGTTCCATTTTGTGCAACTGCAAATGCATGGAATGACAAAACTTGCATTCTTTTGTTTCCTGTAATTCGCTTGATAAAAGTTCCTTCTTTCTTGGACAGAAGTCAGCCCCAGAAAACCTGGTTACTCTGATGATGATGACCAAGCAGGAGAGCTGGAGTGCTCTCATGGATTATGTAGCACAAATCAGCAGAAGGTTTAGAACATAGGAATGAGGAAGGAGAGGTCAGATAATGGCTCAATAAAATGTCAAATAATAAAACATTGTGCCCTAATTGTGCAACATTGGATGGATCGATGAAACATGCATTCTTTTGTTGCATATATTTGACTAGAAAAAAGTTCTTTCTTAGACGACAGTTCCAAAAAAGCTTGTCACTTTTAAGCAGGAGAGCTGTAGTGCTGTCATGGATTATATAGCACAAATCAGCAGAAAATTCACAACACAGGAATGAGGATGAAGAGACCAGACAATAAAAAGTTCAGGCAAGAAGCAGTCAAATAGGCAGGTATTCCTTGGCTAAGTAATATCTGACAGAAGTTTTATGAGGGGGTAATCATGAATTGAGAGGATGTTTTTTATACTGTTAAAATTTGTTTTTTATACCTTTAAAATTTGGATGAGAGATGGCTATGTATATTTTTTTATTCAATCCTTATTTGTTTTACGGAAAGAACCCTGTAGAAATATAGTCTATCACAATATAACAAACATTATTATCCTTATGGTATTAAAAATTTATTCATTTTTATACAACATTACAGATATTACAACACTCTTAAGGATAAATTAAAAATCGTATTCGGTAAATATCAGACAGTTAAAATAGTTCCAATTATCAAATTCATATAAAATCTATAATTGTCAACAATATACATACACAATAACAATAAATAAATTCTATTTTTTAAATATTGATACGTTTTAGAAACGTAAACTAGATAGTTTTTTTTTTATAGAATAAAAAAATATTTAAAGGGTGAAGTGATCACATTGGGACAGTTAGTCCATGTGCCTCCTGGATAATCACCCATAAACCCGATAAATAAACGATCACATTTATCGCCAACTCAGCCTAATAAACAAAGCGATAAAATAACCAGGCCCTATCAAAAACGGTCAAATGGTCCCGGACTTTCTAAAAATTTAGGCAAGGCTCAACTCAAAGGCTTTTGGAACACAGGTGGTTTAACCAAAGAAAAATACACCGAATTGAAACATATAGTGACAGAAAGTGATGTGGGTTTATGTGCAATCGTCGAAGCAGGAGCAGCAACTGATAAACCTGATATGCACAGAATTCACGGATACCAAACATATTTTCTCCCAAGAGCAAGACAAGTTGCATCTGATATTATGCAAGCTGTTAAGGCATCCATCATTGTGGATATGAAAATTAGGAAACAGCAAGATGGAAATGATAAATCCAAGGCTCTGAAAGCAACTTTGGGGCATGGAAGAACAAACGGCACTCCCAAATATTCGTAATGTATATCCCTCCTCAAAACAGACCAAACCTCACTTGGTAGGAAATGAAATGAAATGAAATGGAGAGAGTATACCATATGAGGACCTGAATGCCCCTTCTACTATATGGAGATATAATAGCACTGATATTGTAGGCAGAATATTTGAAGATTTTCGTCAATGAAACCTTGCACAATATATTCAAAATGTCCTACCTTTCTTTCTTTCACTGGCTATGCCTCCTGCCCTGATGTTGTATTGGCACACACCTTAATCTCTGATAACATAAAGCATACATTACTTCCAGCTATAGGAGGTTTCAGACAGAATATACTTGTGGTAAACTTGAACTTAAATTAAAATAATAGTCAGACCAAGGAACCACAACTGCCACAATGAAATTTAAAAAAAAGGGACTGAAAGCTTTTCAGGAAATTGACAGATGAATTCATCACTGATCAATTAATCATAAATGGAAACGTAAATAAAACATTTACTAATATAAAAGGAAATTTATATTAGTGTACTCTGAAGGCTATTCCATGAATATCGACCTTTCTGGAATGAAGAGCTGCAAAACCTAAAAGAAGAAAGGGATGATACTAGGAAAAGAGCTGAGAACTTCAAAAAGCATGCAATCATCCAATCAACCTAGACATAGAAGGAACGAACGCACGAGGGTGTGAGGAGGTCACGTACCTCGGGGTGAGGTTCAGAAGATCATTCGATTCCAGCCCACACGTCGCGTACCTCAGAGGCAGGGTGACCAGCACACTAAATGGCCTGTCAAGGATAGGTAGTGCGTTCTGGGGGGTCAAGTACCCAGCGACCAGAACAATCTACAAAGGTGTTGTCCTAGGCATAATTAGCTACGCCAAGCCTGTGTGGAGTCAGCGACTGACGAAAGAGCAACGGGGAAACCTGGCAACTATCCAGAGACTGGCCCTACTGAGAGTCACCAAAGCTTACAGGACGGTGTCGCACGAGGCATTCCAAATACTGGATGGAGAGATGCCCATCGATCCTAAAGGAAGACGTAATCAGGTTCGATGTCAAAAGACACGGACTCGGTTTGCTTCCGGAGGGACTACGGCGAAGGGCTGAGGAGGAGCCTGGAAGATGGAAGAAGCTGGTGGAGGATGACTCACTTCGGGAGTGGAACGAGTGGTGGGTGAGAAGCGAGAAGGATTCTACCCTGAGGAAGTACTTCCCCACCGTTACTT